TGCAATTAAAATGAATGTGCAAGTGAAATGAAAATGACAAGAGTGATCTCACAAGGAAAGCCTTTGATCATTTCTAGGATCTCCGACATAAAACCATGGGAGGTGATAATGATCACTTGCCTCGTTTAATCTTATTAATCAATATGAAAATTACAAAAATGTGTTTGAGAGTATGAGTATAAGTGATTCATTAGATCTCAGTGTCCGTTGTGTGATTATACATGTGTATTTATAGCATAGGTTGACTAACTAAGTGTCAAATATTCTCGGGATCCTGTTGAACAAGCATTTGCATGTTGCTTTGACTTAGTAATTACAGGTCTTAAGCTTGACTAAAACGATTCTTTAGTGTTGACTTCTCTTGTGTTTACCATTTATGCACATGTGAATAATAAACAAGAAATATATTGGATAATTTTGTTAGGAAATAATATTTGTAATATCAGGATCATGACTTCACTTCAAGATTCGAGATCCTGGGAATGTTTCAAGATCTTGACCCCTAACAACAAGTATGTTATTGCAGCCACAATGGCTATCCTTGACTTGTAAACCCCCAACGATGGTATTACGACCACTAGGGCTACCACCGTACCCCAATAGTAACATACGAGTGTAGTATTACGACCGCTAAAGCTACTATTGACTTGTAAATATTCAATGATGGCTTTACGGCTACTAAGGCTACCATCATACTATGATAATGGATTTGTAGCTACACAAGGTACCATTTCAATTAACAGTGAAGGACATTGCCACAAGGTACTCGTTACGTGGCTTACCATACTCATTGAATATTCTCATAAGGTACCCGTAATGTGACTCTCCCTACTCGCAAGATATTCTACAATGTTCTCATTATGTTGATCACTATAATAATAGTTGAATATTACCACAAAGTACTCAATATGTGATTCATCGTACTAGTAGCATATTGTCATGAGGTGCTCATTATCTGACTCTCCAACAATTTGATAACTATCAACAATTAAACATCATTTAGTTAATAACCAACATCTATAATGTTTCCCATATAACATAATTTCAATCTGATATAGTCTAAACTATAACAATTATCAATAAATACTCAATTTACATAATTTCTCTATCTGTGAATTTTAACCATCAATAATTTGTGCTAAATAAGATTATTACCCCGTACAGGGACAATCAACTATAAATCTCAACTATATCATCCTATTACCCCTATACGCTACGAGTTATTATTAACCCTAGTTACATCAGCTCAATACCAAGCATAACAACACTTTGCTATAAATCTATACAATTTTCAAATTGTCAACTTATACAATATTAATAAATAATGATCAACACATTCATCATATGCATAACAAAGTATATCCACATATGTAGATATCAATTATCTGGATGGGAATCAAAGTTACTCACCTTGAAATATTGCATGCGTTAGCTTCCAAGTCATGAATTTTTGTTCTCTTTCCCATTTCCATTACTCTAATAATTGTCAAAACAATACAATTATCTGGAGTATTATACCCCAAGATACAATTCACTTACATGGTGACTCAACATTCCCACTAAGTACATAATGATCAATTATGTAATACAACTCATTAAGCTCCATAAACTACTTATTAATGTGTCTTAATCCATTAAGACATAAGTTTTATTACATCTCAATCGTCATGCCATTATTTGAATGTCATAACTCAACTTACAATCCATTCATGACTTAACCCTATAATCAATTTTTTATATCAAAACCAATTATGCCCCATGAATAAGTCATTTATATGACTTAATTGATCAAGATACGAACTCAATTTCATTTTATAATAACTTCTCATATTTAGGGTTCATCACCATTTTCACAAATTCAAGAGATAAATCGTGGATTTAACACATAGTACTTGAAATTGGTGTTACTAAGTTACTATAACATCATCCCCATCATAAATTCTCAATAAAAGCATACAAAAGCATACTTGAAATTGGTGTTACTAAGTTACCTCAATCCCAATGATGAAGTTAAAAGTTTGATTCTCTTGATGTTTCTAGATCAAAATCTTGATCTCTAAGTGTTCTAGTCTTAAAATCGTCATTTTATGGTCTCCAAGGCCTGTATAGGTTAAAATGAACCAAAGAAGCTGACTTAAGTTTTAAAATATGCAGTATGTACTGTCGGCTTAAACGTGGCGTGTTCTCCACATGGATGTGCGTGTTCTATCACCCCTACTCAACATTGTATTTTTAAACCTATCATGTTATCTTTACATCATGTGTCATGTATAAAAAAGTACATTACTATCTTCTTGAATAGCAACATACATCTCTGTCTTAAGTCAAAACATGCCTTAACTTAGTTTTACATGCCATGTAAATTCTTATGTACGCGTCGTGTGCATGGTTCCATATTTATAAAATTGTAATTAAAGGGTTATATAACATTCTTCTTCATGATTATACACCAATGCATAGCAAAATACATGTATTAATCTCCTTACTTATCCTATAATCAAGTTACACGTTTTACAATAATATATTCTATTATAAGAAACATGTGTTACAAAACAAGTTATTCAACAGAAGTTATGGTCATTTATTTAAAAAAAAAATTAATATTTCTGATATTGAAATTGGTTATAAACTAATCATATTTGTGTTTATCAAAGTCAATGTAATAATACCCATGATTAACTGTTTGGAATAGGAGGGTGTTTGGTTAAACTCAAAAAAATGAGTTTTTTTAACTTATTACCGGTTTCACACCGGTGTAAATTAAAATGAGTGTTGAATAGACAGTTTTTAAAATAACTTATAACGGTGTGGAACCGAAGATAAATCATTTTTGATAACTTACTTTCCCTAGTTTATCAAAACTCTTTATAAGTTATAGTTGCTCAATATGTAGTAAATTTTGGTTATTTTGCTAAATACTAATAATATTTATCAACTTATAGACAAGTTAAAAGCACTTAGGTCATCCGTAATACCCACCACTAACCACTATAGTCGTGGGTGGCAGATCATCACCACATTCTCTACCACTAACCATGAGATACCTACCACTAAACACACCACTCCACCTCATTTTTTAATTCAATTTAAATCAAAAATACATAAAAAAATCATATAATTTATTTAAATACTAATTTTCATAATTTAAAATACCAAATTACATTAATTAAAATACAAAAAAAAACATTAAAAATAAAAATACAACTTCAAACTACATCACTTAATTAACCTAGAATAACAAAAACATTACATTAACTTAAATAACCTAAATTAAAAAAAAACAAAAAAAAAAAAAAACAAACAAACAAACATAAGTAATTTTCGTTCATGTTGAGTTGGTACAAATGATTCGTGACATCTTCTCGAAAATTGAAACACGTTTCGCTGTTATGAATTTCAACAACTCGTGATAAAAATTCATTCGTTCCGGGTACGAACTCTTCAAGCGGGATGACAACGTCGTCCGGATCGTACATGCAAATCGCTCGACCTTAATCTTCAATGATTCTATTATGCATTATAATACATGCTAGGACCATTCGTTTAATTCTATCCTTATCCCAAAGTCATGTAGTGTATTTCACTACATGACACATCTACTTGAGGTCTCCAAATGCCCTCTCGATATCCTTCCTCGCTGATTCCTGTATCTTGGTGAACAACTTTGTCTTTTCACTTCGAGGAGCCGAATATGCCTTCATAAGTGTAGAATAATCTGGGTATATCCCATCACAAATGTAGTAAACATATTGTACGAATGTCCATTCACCGTGAATGTCATATTAGGTGCTTTGCCGGTACAAAGATCGTTAAAAAGTGGAGACTGGCCAAGAACGTTAATGTTGTTGTTAGACCCCGCGACTCCAAAAAAAGAATGTCATATCCATAAATCCTAAGATGCGACAGCTTCTAGGATTATACTTGGTTCACCTATATCTCCTCGAGTGAACTGACCATGCCATGCATTTGGACATTTTTCCCAAGCCACATGCGTACAATCTAACAGGGGCGGACCTAGGGGTGGTCCACGGTGGCACCGGCAACCCCTAACTTTTCCGGCCGCAGTGGAAAAATTTTCTAAAATTTTCATAAATTTTATTTTTTCTACTACTGTCTGCTGTAAAATCTTGCGTCCGCCCCTGCAATCTAGACTGCCAAGCATACCCGAAAATTCATGCCTCTCTTCATGAGCCGAATATAATCTCTCAATATCACGTGGAGTTGGTTTACGCAAATATTCTTGATGAAAAACCTCAAACACACATGCGCAAAACCAATCTACACAATTCGTCGGATGCATCAAATGTTATACCGTATCCCAAATACCTAAGCGCAGCCGCACACTTTTGTATACTAATAAAACTCATTCTTCCTCTAGCGTCGGGTGTTTGTTTGAAAAAATCATTACGGGCTTCTAAAGCATTACTAATACGTAAAAATATCGTCTTATTTAGACAGAAACGACGTTCGAATGCGTCATCATTGTAAAGACAATTATCAGCGAAGTAATCACGTACCAATACGTCGTGTGCGGCTTGACGATCACGATTAACGACCAACCTTATACGAGCAACATTCGAACTTTCTTCATCGTGAATGTGTTGCACAACATTGAAGAATGTCGAAATGAATTCTCTGTCATCATCCGAGTCAAAAAAATTTAACACTTCCAAATCCTCCATGTGTTTTTTGGTTTAGAATGAGAGTAAAATGTGATGAAATGTGAGGATTTTATTAGATTTATATAGGTATTAAATTTTTGAAAAAAAAAATGTAAAACTTAAAAAATTGACTCAAAAGAAAGAAAATCGATTGGAAACGATTTGATTAGCCGTTTTATTTGGTGGTCGGAACACGGACCATAACGACCATGACCGACCACGATGGCCATAATGCTATACATAGCGGATGGTGTTAGCCATTTCAAATAATACATCCCGGTCAATACACTTCAACGGTTCAACCTATCAGATCTCCATCAACGCCCATCAGAAAACACCATGTCTGAAATCGAATTCATAAAACCAAATGTAGTCGACAGTGATGATGACGATGATACAGTTTGCTTGGGCGAATCTTTCTTCATAGATGACAAGTATCTCCTTCGATAATACGTAAATAAACCGCGAACAGCAATTGATCGATTTCGAGATTGATTCATTTTCTTGTTCTTATGTTAATGTGCAGCTATGAGCTCACTACGTTTACATTTGGGCCTCATGTCCTTCAACTTCTTTGTCTCCAATCATCTTCGAGTATGTTTTGTGCTTTTCACTTCTCACGTTTATTATTTGTCATTCCTTTTTAGGGTTTAAGGTTTTAATAATCCGCCATTGATTTTAGGAAGTAAAGTTCATACTGATTTTGTCTTACATACCTATATTCAATTGATATCAGGCATGAATCTGGTAAGACTGATTCGTGATTCATCTTCCACAACCAACTAATTTCTTATTAGGTCATATAATCGTATTCTATTCAATCTTTCAATACGATTTAGTTTCAAACTACTACCTTTTGTTGTGCAGCTGATTTCGATTTAACTGGACAGTTGGTATGGCCTGGTGCAAGGCTGTTGAATGAATACCTTTCAAATAACGTTGAGCTACTACAAGGATGTTCTGCTGTAGAATTAGGATCTGGTGTAGGTCAGTTATGTTTTCAAAGACTACATTCAATTGTTTTAAATGTTTAAATTTCTATCTGGAAAGTTTTTGGCTTTAGTTATTCATATTCAGAAACCCCTAAAGAAATGGTGGTGTGGGTGTAGGTGTTACAGGCATACTTTGCAGCAGATTTTGTCATGAAGTCGTGCTTACAGATCATAATGATGAAGTGCTCAAGGCATGTCTGCAAGATTCCATTTTTCTGCATACATATATGGTAAGTTTTTTATTCTCTCGGTTGTAACTGTTTATATAAATTTCCCTTTTCAGATCTTGAAGAAAAACATAGATCTTCATGAATCTTCTGACAACCCTAATTCATGTTCTGGTAAGATTAGTAAATCAAGACACATTTTGGAACTTGCTGTCTAATATCAAGATTATTGTGAACAGCTTTAAGTGCAGAGAAACTAGAATGGGGAAACACTGATCAACTTAACCAAATATTACAAAAGCATCCGAAAGGATTCGATCTTATTCTTGGAGCTGACATCTATATCCTATCATTTCTACCATTTCTTTCAATTCTTTTTTATAAACAAATCGATGAAATTGCATTGCTATTTCTTGACAATTGGTAAGCTTTCAGCAAAATAGTGTTCCTCCACTCTTTGACACTGTGAAAGAGCTTCTTTTTCAACATGGGAAAAAGCAATGTAGGTTCATATTGGCCTATGTCTCCCGTTCTAAAATGTATGTGACTCTTTCTTTTAGGGTTATTTTTAGCATATCTTGTTTGGATGCTTCAGACACCCGATTATGGAATGACTATAATAATTGTACTTTCAAGTTTTTTAGTGTAATTGATTTGTATATTATAGCATTTTTCTTTCATTTCTTTTTATTATTAAGAAATTACCAAATAATTAGCTTTTTAATACATTCTTTTGCAGGATGGATGCAATGGTACCAAAAGAAGCGGTTAATCACGGGCTAAAGATCCATGAAGTTGATGGGACCCGATCAGTGATTGGAAATCATGAGGGGGTTATATATGAAATAACCCTTTAGAAACTTAGAAATATTAATTAAATATGATTTTTGGATAATTCATAATTGTGAGGAATATATCTTTGAATGTTTTAGAGCAATGGAGAATGATTGACAAAGGACGAATTACACCAAATAGCAATGTACTTATCTTTTTTACCAATATAAACAACCTGCTTTAATTTTTTCGCAGAATAGCAATCAACTTACAATTAATGTGTTGGTCAGACATTTTATTTTATATAAAATAATATTTCATACAATGCAACAAAATAGGGAAAGAGGAAGTTATTATAATATATTGAAACAAAAGATTAAATACTATGTAGTAGTTGTTGTTGTTGTAGTAGTGTTGGTGTTTGAAGAATCAGAGTTGAGTTTTATGCCTTTCCCATATGCAGCAATTAGCAAAGCCTCAGCCCGGCCTACAGCAACAACCAGTGAAATGCATTTGCATCAATAACTGGATTCATGGAAGACAAAAACAAATATGACATCCACTAGACAAACTATGTGGGGGCATTCATGTCTTTTTCAGATAATTAGACTATAAATAATGTGTAGACATGAATCAAAGTACCATGATCCTTTTTCCTTCTCAGAGATGAACTTATTTGTGGAAATAGAGTGCATGCAAGTGCCCTGCTATTATCCTGCCAAAATTTCACAATCAATATATATTTTTTCTATGTTTAAAAATTAAAAGTATATATATTCCTAAGGCATTAAGGAAGAAATCAAACCTTTGTTGAGCCATTTCCAGAGAGTTTGAACTCACTTTTCCAACGCATAGATGGCACTGGGACAACAGACACTTGAGATGCAACCAGGACTCCAATCCATAGCCCATAATTAAATCCACCACTCCACCATCCCTATATTACACAAAACAATATTATTATTTAGTAATAATGAAAACAAATCTACAAAAATTAAACCAACTTTGTCAAAACTATAAGCCCCTTACAAGTTATGACTTTAAGTTAAAAAGTGCAAAGAAACTAACCTGCTTCCCATCCCCTGGAAATGGAATTGATTGTTCTATGTATGCAGTTGTTCCTGAAACCAACTTAACAAGTTATAACAAAACTATCTTTTAGATTTCTTCCTATTATATAACATTGTACTTTGAAAAATTCTACCCAATTATAGCAATTTCATCCAAATACAATGCTGTTGTTGGGTAGATTTTTTTTTTTTTTTTTTAAAGGAGAAAAAAATGATGGCAGAAAGAGTAACATACCAACTGGAATATTAAAACTTCTAAGCAACTCAACCATGGCATTTGCATCCAAACGACGCCTTACACGGTTGCCTACAACTACTTTCACATTAGGAGAATCATATACCTGAAATATACAAACAAGTTAGAACTTAATGGGATTAAATCTTGTTCCTGTTAATACCACTAAATAAGTTAGAACCAAATTTTATTAATGTTCGAGTACAAAGTATTTTTTACTGCTAAAATGAGTGGATTTTTCAAAGCACAATGTCTTACTAAGAAACAAAGTGAAAGGGCAATCCTATAATGGGTGATTTTAAAAAAGCTCAATGCCTTAATGCTATAATAGAAAGAAATGGAAGTAGGATGCTATAGTACACAAATAAATGAAAGTATAGGGTTACATTCACGTATAAACATAGTAAAAGGTTAGATTATATCTCGATGTTCCCTTTTATATAGTTTCCTATTTGGGTATAAATTAATGATTAGCTTCACATTGTAATATACTGATATATTAACCCATTCTCAGACTATGCTGAGCTCGTTGATGACTCATTCATTCAAGAACCTTTTATGTGGCATTCTCGATGATGAGTATTAGAAGGGCATGCATGTCTTTTTGAACACATGAGAGACACAGAGTGAGTCTTTGCCCCCATCATATTTCGCCTTTTTGAGTGTCCCATTCACATTATCATAATTCATAACAACTGGAGTTCTAAGAGAAGTAGGTTATCATGATATAGACATACACGATGAAGGTTCTCCATGGCTAACAAAAGGCTCCAACAACTAAAAAAATGTTGTCAATTTTGAATCTGAAAAACTGTAGTTTTGTTCTATCTCTTTCTGAGTGAGCAACTAACAAATATCATCGCCAAAAAATTCATGGGCAAAATGTTCAGTTACACAGCTTGCAACATATAATTATGCTAGTTTTGAACGTTAGCTATGGATTATTAGATACCTGAGCAGAATAGCCCAAATCATCGGTTTTCAAGACAGCTAATGCACCGGAAACATCAGGGTCAATTCCGATAACCCATTGTGAACGGGAATTGCTTGTAGGAACATCTTCATTTCCACGACTCACGTCATTTTCTGGTATAGGGTTTTCCGTTTCCTTGAGGGGAGGAGGGCATGTGAGAGAATATAACCATTTCTCTTTGAGCTCGTCAGCAGAAACCTTACTTATTGCCTTGATTTTAGCACTCCTAGGTGTGCATAATTTTGGGAGAGAGGTAGAGAAACGCTCGGAGACGATGGAACGTAAGCAAAGAGTCGTGGTGATAGCTCTGAGATTACAGGAAAAAATTGGGGTCATGAATTTTGGGGAGATTTGCAGTTGATGATGATGTTGATGAAATTGGAGAGCTCCCATCAATTAGAATGAATGAACTTCAAAACAAAATCGATTGTTGGTGGGTTTTCCGTTAATGGTGGTGCAGGTTCTGGTGGCGGTGAGATTAGGGGGGAGTAATCGGAGCGATGAATTGCAGAGAAGAGCGCGGGATACTGTGGTGGCTTCATAAAGAACTAGAAAAGAAAGACAACCTATGAAAAAGCCTCAAGTTTATATGAAATTGACCACTTTACCCTTTGACGGGATCTATGTTCATTTATACCACATATTTGTCTCATTTTTTGCATTTTTCCCGAATAGGCGGTTGCTAGAAGGTTTACCGGTTACTCCTCCACTGGAGGTACTTTAATGAGAAGGTCATGTGGCCTCTTTGTTGACTAGGTTAACCAAACGATGATTGTTACCCCGTTAGGAAGACGTTAGACATAGAGCTCCACACCATGTCACTCTAACGTCAACTCTCTCGCAGTGAATCGTACCTTCTATTGAGAAAATCTTGGGTTATTGGGAGGAATTCATCACGAAATCTAGGTATTTGAAGAAGATTAGGTGTATACTGTTGGTAACGTTGTTCAAGCGGAAAGAAATTTGGGTGATTATCGCGTTGAGTTGTTCAACCGGTAAGTATTCACATCCATGATTAAAGATTTATCTACTTATAATTCTTCAAGTTTGTTTGTGAACAAGAGGGGAGGTTTTCATCAACAAGGGTATTCATACCAAGAACAGTGAGACGTGGGAAGTGCTTAGAGTATGAACATAATCCAAATAGTTGTAAGGATGAGAAAAAGCCACTAGTGCCCTCACCACCAAAGAAGAAGGGCAGGCCAAGGAAAGATCCATTGATAGTTGAGCATGATGAAGCATTAAGGTTTTCTCAGTCCATTCAACCTTCAAATAAGAAAAGAAACAAGAGACATGTACAATGTGATCCCAAAGAAGCATCAAGTTCCAAGGTTTTAAAAGCTAAAAAGAGGTTATGTATTAGAATGGAGGGTCATGAAGAAAAGGTTACCGCAACTCAAAAAGAAGATGTTTCTGCAATTCAAAATAAAGATGTTGGTGATGGTATTGAGACTAGAGAATGAGTTAATGGTGGTATTCAGATTGAGGATGGTGGTGTTGTTATTAAGACTGAAGAAGGAGTAAATGATGGTATTCAGATTGAGGATAGTGGTGATGGTATTGAGACTGAAGAAGGAGTAAATGTTGTTATTGTTGATCAAGTTGAAGATGGTGGTATTGTCATTCAAAATCAAGAAGGATAAGATGTTCTTATTGTTGAGCAAGTTGAATAGGTTCATATTGGTCAAGAAGATGTTTTACTTCTAATGGTTGGTTTGGAACTACACAAAGCACTTGATGAGGTTGAGCAAGGGTTGGATGAAATATTAGGGGATGGTAGTTTTCAACAAAAATCAAATGTCTATGATGCTACTCAATTTGATAATGGGGGCAATGAGGAATATGTAACTTAGGTTGAGTTTAATGATGGAAAAGATGATGGTGTCCTTGTAGAGAAAGTAAAGGTGGATGTTGAGGACATTGTAATGATGTTGGAAGCAGGATATAGCATGGAAGAAGTTAAAGGTATGGAAGGAGCAAATGGAACTGTATGACATGTCACCAGTTGAGCTGGTAAGGAATTACTTTTGTTTTTGTAATATCTTTTAATTATTTTGCTCCAATTTAACATATTTATGTAATTATCAATATCAGGATATGGCACATGTATTGGATCATCCATCTGGTAATGATGATGATGCTATTATTCAAGATTTTGATGGTCTTATGGATGATGATGTTATTGATGATATTGTTGATGGTGTATTCCAAGATGGTGATGTTGATGGTGAACAACAACAAGTAATGATAATGGTCATTTGGGTGACGATGAAGGTCCTGAGTATGTCCCTAAAGTAAGAAAGTTGAGAAAACCCTCTAAAAGGATCATTTTGCAAAATCTTAAGAAGACGGTGTTTGAAAAAAATAGAGGTGGTTCATCTACTAGCAATCCAGTTAGTTTGGTGTAGTTGGTTAAGTGCATTGGGGTAACTTGCACGCTTATGGGAAAGACCCTCATCTGGTGGAGTATCTAGGTAAAAGCCTTAGGAGTAGATGCAGCCTATGCAATCTCTTGGGAAGATTTGAAAATGCAAATGATAAGAGAATTTTGTTCTACGGGAGAAATGGCCCGTGTAGAACATGAATACAGTCACTTTAGCACTAGGAAGTCCATTATAGCCTTTTATACTGTAACACTTGGTCCATGTATTCTTTCATTTCTCAACATTGGGGTTTTTGTGGGAACTCGACGAGTTGGGGAGCTCCAACTCGTCGTGTAGAGACTTTTGTGTCCGCTGCTTTTAATGATCCAACTCGACGAGTCGGGGAGTCCCAACTCGACGAGTTGACAGCTAATGATGAAACCCTAATTTTAGGGTGTTGCACCCTATTTAAAGGACTTTAACCCCTTGGTTGGCCTCCTTACCAGCCTCCTTTTGTCCATAAAAAACCCCAAGTTCGTTATCCTTTCAAGATTGAGTGTGTGGGCCTTGAGAATTGATTTTGGGTGGTTATTTGGAAGGATCTTGGAAGTTGGAAGAATCTTGTTTAGAAGGAGTATAGATCCAGAAACTCTTCACCAAAAGAAGTCTTCTTTAGGTATAAAGTCGACATCTTGCTTTGTTATCTCCTACATCTCATTAATGGAAGTTTTAGCATGTTTATGGGATTTTGTTTGGGATAGCCAAGATGTTGAAGGTTCCATGGGTTATTATGTTAAATCTAACCCCTTCATGACTTCTCATGGCTGAAAGTTGCAAACGTTTCTTAGTTCCAAGCCCCATTCATGCATGCAAGTCCTTCATTAAGTCCTTATTAAGCTCTAGAGGGTAGTTGTAGCTTGCATGGACGTAAAGTGGGAAACTTTATGTGATTATCCAACCTTTGGCACTAGATCTGTGTTTTGGGGCTATATTGGAGAGTTCAAGGGCTTTAAGTATTAAGACTCTCTCTAAAGAGCCTAGGGTTTGGGTTTGTTTCTATTTGGGTGGTTCTTAAGGGTAAAGTTGGAAACTTTACCCTTCTAGACATCATTTTGGATGAGATCTGAGATTTGGATTCCCTAGATTCGATGGTATCAGCTTAATGCATTAAGAGGTTGGATTTCTGGACAACTCGACGAGTTCATTAGTGAACTCGACGAGTTGATGGGATTTTTCCCGATCTGTTCGGGTGATAGAGAAACTCGACGAGTTGAGGGACAACTCGGCGAGTTGGGTCAACTCAGGATGTTGACTTTGACCTTTGACCTTAGTCTTTGACCAAGTTTGAACTTTAAGGGGCTTTAGGGCATTTTGAGTTGTATTTAAGAAATTGTTTCTGTTTAGGGTTGTGTAGAGCAGATATTGGAGTCCCGACCTAGTCAGCTTCCATGCAGTATTGCGGTGAGTCTTATCACCACACTCATGGGTTGAAGGTGTAACATTTGGACTTAAATTAAAATGAATTTGGAAGTTGGGGGTTGTTTGGTAATTATTGGGTTTAGTTTGAAAAAGATCTGGTGGAGAGGGACTAAACTTGGAAAAATGGAAATAATGTTTGAATAGGGACACAGGAATTAAACCTGGTACCTTTCCCCCCTCGTTTCTTAATGCAAACCCTAAACCTAAAGCCTTCATACAGCCGCCACCTTATTCCTATCTCCAGTCGCCGCCATCAAGCTCGACCGCCACCTCCTTGTTGTGGCTTGAACCAGCATCGCTCCCTCACCAGTGAAGTCAAGGACGGAGTTGCGACTGTCGGGAATGTCGGAAGCTCCAGGAATCGAGGCCGCTACTGTTGTTTTTCTGGTGGAGACGCAACCTTCATTTTCCCCACTGCTACCGTCCCTCCTCCTCCCGTTTCTTCTCCGCAACAGCTAGCTCGCGTTCTCCGCTGCTGTCGCTCCTTGCGGTTGCTTTCTGTTGCGCTCCGGTTGCCGCCTGCCACCCGAAGTAGCTGAGATGGGTGTGTGTTTGCGATATCTCTCGTGTCTGTATGTGTGTAATTTAGTGTGTGTGAGTGAGCATTTTACAGGTATAATGTTGTATGGACTTGGCTTGGCTGGGAAACCGAAGAAAACCCATCACCACCACCGTGAGGTGGTGGCTGCCACCTTCTGTCGCTGTTCTGCCACCACTAGCCACCATCTCCGGTGGTTGTGTGCAATTGGAATGAGGATTGGAGTGCTTTTGGCATCGTTTTGGCCTAAAATCATAATCACCACCACGGTGAGGTGGTGGCTACCATCGTGAACCGTCATTGACCACTACTGCCCGAGGTGGCAGTGGGTGGTGCCCAGCCTAGTGAAACCCTAATTGACCTAAAAGCTTAATCTTGGACTTAGTTGGCATGTGTTTGGGTTGGAAACCCTAATTAGGGTTTAGAAAACCCTAATCTTGGTGACTTTTGTTTGGAACTTGTCGGGACCCGCGTTTTGGACCATTGGATTGGAGTTATGAGTTATGCCCAACCGTGTAGTATAACCGACCTTGTAGAGTGATGGACTTAATGGATTAAGTCCTTAATGGATTAAGTGTTTTTACTTAACCCTAATCGTCATTTTATGTGAAAACCCTATTTGTGATTGGGCTTCGAGTTGGGCCTTTCTTTTGGGCTTAGGTGTTTGGGCTTTTTTTGGGCGATCTGAGAACAAGTGTATGGACTAGGATACTTGGATGGGCTTTAGGGTAAGACCCATGTAAGGGGTTTGGGCCCAATTTGGAAAATTGGGCCATATTTGGGTCTTGGTTGATTATTTGGCTTCTGGCATTCAGAGTGTGACTTTGGGCCTTGGGCTTGGACCAAGCTAGGTTAGGGATAAAATGGTCTTTTTATCCCAAGAATTAATTTATGGTTATGCACTGGAACCCAATTGTTAATTGGGTTTTGTTTTGATGTTGACAGTTCGGGAATCTGTCAGCCAGCAGCCAAGGATTGTCTGCGTGATTTAGTAGTGTGAGGTGAGTTTCCTCACTGGGTTTAGCGGGTCGAAGGCACCAATGTCGGCCCATGTTTATGCTATGATAGTATGCTAGCTGTCTTCGTGACTCTTGCATGTGTATGTGTTTATATGCTTTCCGGGATAAGGTTCGATGACCAGCCGAGGCCCGATAACTGTTTGCATG